GAGTGTTTATGTTCCAGGGTTTTTCCAGACGGAGGTCAGGCAAAAGGTAATGGAGTGAAGGTTTGCGGTGAAAAAAAAAAGTTAGCAATCTCTATCCCTAAAAACTCTTTATACGATGATTTGTATTAGTATCGGCAATTGAGTTGGATCTATCAGAAACTCGATTGTTCGGCTTGATATGAGTGAACTTTGAGTCGGGTTGAGTTTTGAGTCGTTTATTCAAACTCGAAAAGTTTATGAGCCGAATTTTCACTACTAGAAAATCATGAATTAGCAACGAATATTAGAGACGAATTACAAGTTCGTTGCTAAGCAAAGAATTAGCGATATAATTAGTGACGGATAGTAAAATCGTCCCTTTTCTTATAAAGTTTCAACCATAGCTACGGATGTTAGTGATGGATAACATATCCGTTTCTACAATAAACATTTAGCAACAGATGTTGCAACGTACTATTGATCCCTCGCTAATAGTTTATTAAGGGACGAAAATTAGGAAGGGCCAAAATCAATTTCTAAACTAAAATATTTTATTAAAACACAAAAAAAAAAAAAAACAAAAAAAAAAAAGAAAAGATTTATGAGTTCCCAATCCCACGTTCCTCTCTTTTTCCTTCTTTATTTATTCTTATTTAGCCCACCACCACCACCAACCCCCACCCACGTAGGCCCACCACAAACTTTAACCTAGTTCTTCCTCTATTCCTACTCTTTTACCCTTCTTTGTCTTCCGAAAATTTTTCAGTTTTTCACTTTCATTAATTCTTAGCACAAATATAAGAAAAATGCGAATTTCTCAATGGAGATGATAATGGTGCCGAGAAATCCGTGAGATGGTTGTACGGGATGGTGAAGAATAGACTGTGTTGTTTCCTTCGAGTAAGTCTGATATCTACAGGTAATGGTGAATGGATTTAATAGCTATTTTTAACATATATTTAATGTTTAAATTCTAGTTTTGTGCTTGGATAAATTTATGCCCATTTTAATTACTCTCAATTTAGTTCCTAATTTGCGAAATAACTTAATATATTAGATTCTAATTGCTGAGAACTTCAAGAGTCAAAGTGAGAAATGTGTTCTTGCTGATTTGTTCATTCCTAGGATGCAAATGGACTGCAAAATGCCAAGACCCAGAACCTATATCATATTATATTACAACCAATCTTGTGTTTTGTATGAAAGAGATGTTGTGGTAATATGTATATGCAGAGTACTAAATATATTTTATAATTGGTTGCGCATATTAATTGGTCCACTCTTGGCTTAATTACCTTTTTGTAGGACTCAAGAGCTCAGGTGACTACCATATGTCGAATAATAGGAACAATGCTGAAGATCCAAGCCTTCGTGAC